CCTTCGGAAGGATGCTCGAAACCGCAGTCTACTATTGCTCTTAACAGCTCAGGCTTTAATAAGAAATCCCGGAAGCCGGTCGCGTGCACGCCTACGTAACTGCCCTTCTTATCCTTTTTATCTTCCTCGGTGGCTTCGTTATAATTATTTTGTTTATGTGTTGAGGCGCCTTCCGTATGGAGAAGTTGCTCCTCCTCTTCGTAATCAATCAAGTCGTCGGTGTGGTGATCGGCCATTTGTGAGGGATTCTATAGGTGTAAAGTACGTACATTGGCAACGAGAGGAAACAGGCGGATTGTAGGTAGTTGTTTAATAGATCCGTGTTAGATGACAGGTGTTCAAGCATTAAGATCTGGTATTAAAATACCTTTGCGTGGCTGTTGTGGTGCTTGTTTGTTAATAAGAGGGATTTAGCCCGTCAGGTTTATCTTAGTTTAAGATTTTCTGTATGTTTGGCAGATGTGAGAAAGGAAAAGTGAAATTTGGGACAGTCCTGCTGATCCCTTGTTACACACATGATTTTTGCGCATGAGGTAATTGAGACGCGGTGACCTGAGGAAGACTTTTAGTGATTACGTAATAACCGTGAAAGCCAATTGGAAGTAACTTATCTGTGATTGGGCGTGCAAACTTGAAGATTTTTTACACGTTAATTACAGCAGGGTAAATCAGTAAAGGACTCGAAATCAACAAGTGAACGATGATATTAACTTTTACCTATCTACTTTACAAGTGATATAAAAGTTGTTATCGGAAACTATTAACTCACAAGTAAAGGCTATTTAAGTATGTAATAAATATAAAAACTTTTCTTTGACCTGTACAAATCAGATATTAATTCATCAGTACTTTGGGTGTGAGGTCAAGGAATTCAAGTGCTTGCAGACATGCGTGTCTCAGAAAAGATTCAGACACAAGAAGACCACGAAGCAGTACTGATATTTCGGCAACAGTTGCGGTCTCACCGATGGCCTGGCAAAATTCTATGAGCATATTTCGAGCCATATTTGATAATTTCGGAACTTCTTTGATGATGAGCAACAACAATTCAAGCATATTTTCCCGGGACAGAAGAGTAGACATGTTATCTGAACAATGAAAGATTATGATGGGCGATTTGATCAAGTGATTTCGTAGTACTGAGATAACTACCCCAGCATCACCATGAAAATTTCACGTTCACATGACTGCAGTGGGTGAAATTATAGAAGCAAAATTTAATTTATACTAAAGTTTATGTTAAACTTAAATTATAGATATAGAAATAATCATGTGAATGTGAAATTTTCATGGTGATGCTGGGGGAAAGTACTGAGATAGAGTAGTACGATATGATGATCATTTCGGAAGTCTAAGTCTGAAACACTAAATTTATTTTATTATATTTTATTGGACATATTTAACTGCGGGGATAGAAATTAGTTCTCAAAAAACGTATAAGTTCAACTGCTCCCCGACGCTTTTTGAGCATGTTGATGCTGATGTTGATGTCAATGGTTGTGATGTTTGATACATCTGAAAAATGACTTGATAACAATAAAACTATTTCTAATTCTCACTCTTATAAATAAATCGATATTCGACAAATGAAATCCAACCGACGAAAACGTTAATTGAACATGATCGGCCCTGCATAATATCCCTGAAATCGATGACGATCAACCTTAATATTTGGATTTAATGCATAATAATAACGAAACCTCGTTAGACTTTCGTCTGAAAACTTGGTTAGCTTATTGCAAGCGATTCAATGTCGAAAATGATCAGTTCGAATAAACGGGTAATAAATGCAATGAATGTCGTTCTAAAAAGTTTCCTGAAGCGTTTATCGTGAAGAAGGGACTTAGTATTAATAAACGTAGCGATATGGAAGCTGGTTTTACTGTAAGACTTCCGCTACTATAATAAAGCTTTCGCTCATTAAAAGCTTTATAACGAGCATTGTAATAATAATTGTTCGTTACGAAATATCATGTTCAAGAATAAAATGAGAGCGTTCGTAATTACAAACGTTTGCTGAGATTGAGAGTTAGTAATGTCACGTTGATATTATTATTTGTATCAAAACGGGACGAGTCTTTCCGTCGGCTCGTAACGTAGTGGCTTCACTATGTGTTCCTTTGTTGCAAACATTTAATAACTTTCTCAACTAACATAAGGCTAGGGTCCGATGTTGTTAATGTGAATAAAAAATATTGATGTCTCTGTTATCGTATAAACGATATGATCGTATGAAAGTATAATTATAATGGTTAGATAAATTGTAATTAATAGTTCGTCGCTCGAACGTAATATTCGCTTAACACATCGACTAAGTAACCTCATTACTACATACATTATCATCGTTACTATCAACTGAGTTTGGATAACATCTTGCCTAGGTGATGACTCATGTTGCGTAGTGGGAATACTCTTTGGAGTGTTCGACAAGTTTTGACTCTCTCTTTAAGAGAATGTTCATAATTGGTTTGCTGTCCGATTCACTGAACGAGAGTCTAACTCCGATGACATTTAGTAATATTAATTACTAATGGATTCCTTGTTAGCCTATGATAATGTTATGATCTTATGAGTTACTTGTAACTATTCCGTTGCGATGACATTACCGCTCGACGCCAAGCGAAGAGTATTATAACATTGCTGAACTAAGCGATAGGGTTAAGCTCCCCTCCCTCCTTAGAAGGAATAGTCCGGTTCAGGAAATTCGTCTAGACAGTGATTATCGTTGTAAATTATAACGCAGAAGGCTATTGTGAATATGGTTAATAACGTTAATCACACGGAGCCCAATCATGAAACGATGCTGAGAAGAACCCTCAGGCATAGCCCATCGCGTTCACATATGATATTAATATCTAGACTTGAAGCAGCTCGTTCAAGAGCGTATTCTGATTCGTGATCACAGCCTGTTCGACGCACTCTATTCCTTTCTTTTGAATAATTTCATAAATTAACACAAAACAATATGTGGGGAGAAGTTGTGTTCGTTCTGTTATTAATCTTAGTCGAAATATTACAAAGATGTCCTAAAGGTTCCTCTTGCCACTGTTCAGGTATTGTTTGAATGTCCATAACTCGTAATGTAGCAATTCCAACATACAGTATGATAGATTTTATACGATCATCCATACTAGTACATTCTCCAATCTTCAAATAAGTACCGATTGCTTTCTGACCAAATAATCTGCCACCTCTTTTCACAACAACAGTTAACAGTGGTATTAATTCTGATATCTTTTCTCCCACTGCTCCGGAATTTCCTCTAATCATAGCATTGATGATATCTAAACCATGCAATTTTTTTTTTTGAATTTCATTTACATGTTGTCATATTTGTGACTCTTTAGCAAATTGGGCATCTACAGCTGCCTGTTCTTTCTTTGTCAGTTGTTGTGTATCAGTATTAGAAGCATCAGTATTAGAAGCTTTGCAACTTGAAGAGTCCAAAAGCAACTTCAACTTTCTTCTCTCCTGGTATTGTTACGGCGAGCTGATCGGCTGACGTCGATAAGCAAGTCACATGGTAAAATCTTCCTCCGCAGTAATCAAACAATACCCCTGACGATCCATTAATAATTAGATGTTACTCAGAGCAAACGCGAGTAACGCGATTTTGGTGACAGCGTGGGAAAGATAGAAAATACGTGCTCTGTGGCGTAGAAAATCTAGTAA